TCAACGGCGAAAAGGCAGAGCTTTTTGTCGCCAAACGCGACCATGAGACCCTGCTACGCGATTCCCGCTGCGTTTCGGCGCGTTTTTTTACACGTTCATACGCGCACTCGGATAATGGTCTACGCGCGTGTACGCGACGTCGTACGGTTTAAAAAGCAGGATAATTCATGCTACGTACTGCACGGCCGTGGAATACAAGATGACGCATTCGACCGCGAAGCAGCACACGTATGCGCATCCCACGCTCTCCTCTCTTCCGCGTTATACTTATTATATTTCCTTAAGAGGTCAAAAGAGCGGGTCAATCGGAGAACGACGCGATATAATTCATACCGATAATCAAATTAATATTTGTCATTTCGTGACGGGAGATTTGCCGATAGTTATTTAACGTGCACACACGTCCTCGTCAAATTTAATCAGTACTTTGTCATTGAAGGATCGTTATATCGCACTACTTAGCAGAGCAGTCTCGATTTCTCCGCTTTATCTTATTTTAATCCTCGATGTATCCCATGAAAGATTCGGTCGTTCATCTTCATCCGTCGCTTTTCATTTATTCGGATCTACCTCGGTCACGGCGGGACGCTGCTCCTCGAGAAGCCTGGCTGACTTTCAATTTCCCCTCAGTATTTAACGGTGAAAGGGGAAATTCGTCAGGTACGCCCGCGTGGCTGTGAAGCTGCGAGCGGAGTAGCGAAACACCCACGCGAATTCCTAGATTCACGATTGCGCCGCCTTCGCCGATGCTTCTCGGCTCTTCTCGCGCACACTACGCATGTTCGTTTCTTTGTTCCGGGACTGCGTATGCGGCAATAATTCCCTGTAACAACGGACATTTAGGGCTCGCTTTGTATAATCCGGAAAGTGAAATGTGGCAGACCGCAGTTGATTTCCGCTTGTTGTTACCACTCCTTTCGAGATTTCGCAAAGATGTCATGTGCGAGAGGCATGCGTTAAATTTATTCAAAAATCTTCACCATAAACACTGCACGAGAGTTATAAAGCATTTTTCAAATTAGAAATATACTAATATTAGTAAAAATGAAATGTGAATTTTATAGGAAAAGATTTCGAAATCCTAAAATATTCGAAAACCTGAAATAAACGAAATATGTATCTAAAGCAAACTTCGTGTTTTCACGTAAAAAATTATTATTAAATAGATAAATACACTAATTCTTATACTAATTAATAGAGAGAGTAGTACCAATTAATATAAATTAACAGTACTAATTAGTAAAGAGAATAGACTGTTTGTACGTCTCACATAATCGCTCTGCAATTTTTCTACTGAAATAGAAAATAGAATATCACGTCACTATAGATTTAGTTTGCGCTTTTAACACTTAGTGTGCACTAATTTGTTTGAGTTATTGGAAATTATATCGTAATCGCTCGTTATGAATATATATATATGTTTTTATATATGAATATATATATGTATATACGAGTGTGAAGTGTGACAACACGACAGTGATTATGACATTATTTTTGGTAATTCCAACGTATTAATGCCCGCTAGGTGTAAAAGAAGTTAAAGGTATAGAAAGTGTTAAAGAAGCAAGCAACACATCTCGTAATACCGCACTCTATGTGTTATACAACTCATAAAATGTAACGAAAAAAGCACGAAAATGTAACGCACGTTGCGAACACGTAGATACGACGAATTTGGTACATCTATCGAGCCGGAGAATCGAAAAATCTAACACGATATTGGTCACTTCCTTCGACCTTAACCTTAAACCATTTACGTCTCAATTGTGACAAAGTCGCCGCAGAGAGGAATAGAGCGGCGCGACAAAGGAAGTGTCACGACACGGAGCACAAAGAACGTTCTTTTCACGAGGAAGCAAGCGCGACGGCCGGTCAGTCGCATTAGAATATACATATATGATATACATACATATATACATACATACATATATATATATATATATATATATATATATATATATATATATGTATGTATATGTATATATATAAGATGTAAAAAAAAGCGAGCACGAAAGTCGCGGGCGTGGGAAAGCCGGCCCTCGAGCGAGCCACCAATTAACACCAATTAGTGCTCATCTGCTCTAGGTACTGCCGGCGAGCAGAGCTGACTTTACGTTTAGCGCGAGACGTCTGACGCGTCGCGGATTGACCACAACATGTTCTTTGTGCTGCGAAGACTGCATCATCGCGGCATATCGTTCTTGTCGCGAAGACACAAGGAAAAGACATACGTCATTCTTGCGATTTCGATCCCTGTCTCGAAACAGTCGTTTCAACCAGATTTAGCACGCGCGAGACGCGGGAGTTCTCGCAATTTCTCGAACGGGGAAACTTGACTCGCGCGCGAACCGTTTTGATGCGCCGCACTTTACGCAGTGCATAAACATTTCGATTTCCGAGGGAAATTGAGTCACCAAGCACGGGTTCAGTTAGCAGTTCGGTCACGAGCGCACAGTCGAACGAGTGCACGATGCCAAAAGCGGGAGAGAAGTCAGCCGGCAAGAAACTATTCGCGCGTTCAATCGACAGTTGCGTAAGAAGCAGATCCAACGGCAGTGGAGACGGGAGTTAGTCTGTCGGACCGCATGAGCCCTCTATTTCTTGCCAAAAGTTTCGCAAAATATAACTTGTTCCAGCGAAAAATATCTTTCTAATCGAAGGGTAAAAAGCAAAGAGTAACAAGATGGGCAAAAATTGCTATACACAGGGAGGATATAATATTTTTTATATATCGTCTAACGAAATCTATATCAATGAAGCACATACGTAATATTTGCAAATCGGAAATATTCACAAATCTGCGCGGAGAGTACGCGGAGAGTCTTATAGTGAAAGTTATTATGTGGAATTTCGTAGTTGTGAAGCAAATCTCTTTTCGCATCTCTCGAAACGCGTATGTCACAGATAGACTCTTTTTTCGATCACAGACAAAATCGCGCGCCGTCCAGACTCTCTCTCGCAGAGTTCATTCGCGCTCATTGTCTAATTCTGAGGATCATCAAGTTCATTATACCGACGTGAGCGCACGCGAGACGCCGATGCGCGCTGCTGGCTGATCTTTTTTCGCGGGACCGGTTCCATCAGGAACACTTCCAGCTTTCTACCATCGCCAACCCGACTCCCGTGTTGTAACCCCGTCGGGTGCCAGCGTGCGGCTACACGAAGCGGACAGCCGCGTCTTCCGCGGCCGGTGTGCGCGATTCGAATTTATTTATTGCATTAGCCTGCTGTCACTCACGGCTCTTGATTGGTGGTACCGATCTCGGGGTTCCTTTTCTTCGCGAACGACCGGGACACAACACGATGGCGGAGATATGTCAACCGTATGAAGCACGAGACCGCACCGGCGACGCGTCGATCTTCGCGTGCAAACCGTCGCAATTATCCCGATCAACCGTGAGCCGGTCCTGCGCGCACATTGTCACCGTGCGCATTACGAATGCATTCAAATGCAACTCGGTAATCATCACGACGTAGCTCACGGTAATATCGAAATTCTGCCCAAGGCGATGTTGGGTCTTTCCCCCTCTCTCTCTCTCTCTCTCTCTCTCTCTCTCTCTCTCTCTCTCTCT